AAGGACCCAGAAGATAATATATGCAAATAACTGTAATAAAATAAAAAGCAAAGGTGGTTAAACAATTAGACTTATTTTATAGGGGCTAGAGAAAGTATAAACTGACTTGGGGCATATTACGCATGTTTCAAGGAAGAGATGAGTCAACAAAGCTGATGGAAAGCATATATGGAGCACGTTTGAAGAACATGCCTGGTTTGAATGAAGCACAGAATCTATGATGAATAGCTGGAAATACAACTGAAAACACAGAAGGGCTGAGGATCATAAAATGCTGTAAATGTCAGCAATGACATATGATTATGAATTAATAAAAGAATCTGAATAAATGACAGATATTATTCAGTCGACAAAGGGGAAGGTCATGACCATAGCTGCTGCTGCTAAGTCACTTCAGTCGTGTCCGACTCTGTGAGATGCCACAGACAGCAGCCCACCAGGCTCTGCCGTCCCTGGGATTCTCCAGGCAAGAACACTGGAGTGGGTTGCCATTGCCTTCTCCAATGCATGAAAGTGAAAAGTGAAAGTGAAGTCGCTCAGTTGTGTCTGACTATTCGCAACCCATGGACTGCAGCCCACCAGGCTCCTCCATCCATGGGATTTTCCAGGCAAGAATACTGGAGTGGGGTACCATTGCCTTCTCCGCATGATCATAGCTACACCTTTGTAAATATTTATTAAATATCTATGTCTTAATGATACAGTGATGTAAAGGTGAATAGAACCAGTGGCTCTTCAACTTTTGTGGGGTATGCTGGTCCTGGTTGTTTGCCTTCAAATCTACTCTTCCTGCTTCCCCTGCTCTGTCCTGTAGCACAGGAAACCTGACCCCGCTGCAGGCAATTTCCTGGGTTCCATGTCAGCTAGCTTCTGACTGGGTTCAATCAACAGGAAGCACCAGTGGGAGACTGGAGGGCAGTTACTAGGAGCCATGGTCTTTTCCTCCCACTTCCTCTTTGCCCTCGTAGAATTTCCTCTACTACTGCTCCCATATCAGACAAGTCTACCTTCTAGTTTTCACATAGTGAAACCAGCCTCTGGGTTTCATCTCTACTTGTCCTCCTGATTATCAGAGTGGTTTCCTGCTGTTTACCACCCTCCAGGTTGGCTCATGTAAGCTGCTTGTTTTCTTAGCTTTTCACCAGTATAACCAATTCCCTCATTAAATTCCTTCATGCTAAATACTCAGATTAGTTTCAGTTTTCCGGAATGGATGCTGACTCATACAGAAAGGAACAAATTTATTTAGGAATCTAAAGAAAAGTTCTGGATACTTTACCTATAAAAAATGCCCCACCTGTACATAAAACTTTACAGATAGTTTGGGACCTCCCACAACTCTTGAAGCCTGTACATTAATTCTAGAATAAGAATACTGAATGGAGTAGCAAATGGCAACCCACTCCAGCATTCTTGCCCGGAAAATTCCAGGGGCAGAGGAGCCTGGCAAGCTATAGTCCATGGGGTCGCAAAGAGGCGGACATGACTTGAGCACGCACAAACGAAGAATACTAAATAGGTCAAAAAGTAAGTTTTGGTTTGGGAAGGCAAAGTTCTACAAGTGAATGATGGTGATGGTTACAGAAAAATATGATTGTACTTAATGCCACAGAATTGGAAAAATGGCTACAATGGTTAAATTTCATATTAAAAAAAAGAATAAGTAAACACACAGCTACAATAAAACAAAGTAAGAGTATGATACAAGTAATCTACAATGCCACCAGAGCGTGTAAGGAGAAAGTACCAACTGTACCTGCTGGAAACAGTTTGAGGTTACAACTGACCTGAACCTTAAATACAAGTGTACTAGGGAAGAGAGGAAGAAAAACACTGCAGGCAGAGGGAACAAAATACATTAACAAGAGTATCTGGAGAAACTGCAAGTAGTTTGGAATGCCTGGGGCATAGGGCATATGTTGAGAACTTGAGATCAAGCAAAAGAGACTTGTAAGATCAGGTCCGCAGAATACCTTGTCTGACATACTAATAAAACCAAAACTGGTGACCCAGAAACAACAAATGGCACTTTGATGTATATATTTTGACCTGGACAATATTTAAAGAAATTTTAGCAAGGCAATAGCTGGATATAGCTGAGTAGCAAGGCTATTCAAATGGAGCAGTGAGGTACAAAAGTCAGTGCAGTATGTTGAAGACTGAAAGTTAAGTAAGGAAGTACCGTAACTAAGCAGAGCTTATTCTTTGAATAAATTTGATTTGTGAAAGGGTAACATAGAGCATTAGATAAAATAAGAGGTGGGGGTCTAGGAAAGTGTTTTGGTATGTGTGGGTAAGGGTAAAAAACCTAATTATGTAAATTCTAAGGGGAGAACTCTATTTTTAGCAATTGGCACAGTGCCTAGAACATACTAAGCAACCAAAGATTTGCTGCAAGAACATGATGAACAAAAGGAGCAACAATGAGAAGGACTGAAGGAGTACTGAGAGGGAAGGGGAACTGACAGAAGAATCATGGGCAAAGAATAAAACTCTTAGTTTTAAAGCCACTAAGTTTTGTGACTCATACATCTCTGTGGTGACATGATAATGCTAAATGAAAAAAGCAAGAGTGGTGAGATTTGCTTTTTTTGGTAGTATATACTCTTTTGTACAACTTGAAATTTTTGGTAAGTGAATTACTCTTTCAACTATTAGAACTCGAGGTGTGGTGTTAATGCTTTAGGCAGATTTTTGTAACCATAAATAAGACGAACTGCAAGACTATATGAGAAACTATGAAAATAATCCAAAGGAGAAATGGGATGCATACTGTTAGTACTCTGGCAATAAAAATGGAATGTGAATGACAAATAAGAATTTTAGGATAAGAAACAATGACTGTAATTTTTATCAGTTTTTAAAGAAGGAGGAAGTCTAGGAGAATACTCACAAGTTTGTTTAAAGTATTCCAGTTAGAAAATCGTACTGCTTTCTTAAGACCAGTGGTCCTTGCCCTCCAGGAAATATACTGGCAATATTTGGACACTTACTTTATTCTCACAATTGGGCGAAGGCGGGAACTGGGTCCCTGCTGGCATCTAATGGATAGAAGCCAGGGATGCTGCTAAACATCCCACAAAGCAAACAGGACAGCTACCATAATAAAGTATGTCAGTATTATTGTGAATTTTGTGAGTCTACTTCGGATCTGTTTACAAATAAGCCTAATCAATATAACAATTACAATAGACAGCTTTCTTCTTAGATGTAGGTTAACTGTTTTTTTTTTTTTCCCACTTGGATGTCCAATTTACTTCAAAAAGGTTAAATGTTGATATTCAGTTATGATAAAGTGTGCAAAAGATTAACCAAAAATTAACAAATATTAGTTTAAATTTAAGTGATTCTTTTCTCCAAAAACAGATGGTAGAACCAGTACCCTCTAAAGTTTCCTGCAAAATGTGCTTGTCAAGAGTCTGTGCATAATGAGACAAGTGCTCGGGCCTGGTGCACTGGGAGGACCAGGGGGGATCGGGTGGAGAGGGAGGTGGGAGGGGGGACTGGGATGGGGAGTACATGTAAATCCATGGCTAAGTCATTTCAATGTATAACAAAAACTACTGTAATGATGTAAAGTAATTAGCCTCCAACTAATAAAAATTAAAAAAAAAAAAAAAAGAGTCTGTGCATAAAAAGTTTTTTCTTTTTTTGGACAGGGCCGAATACTTTAAAAAGGGAATAAGAAATGGATTTTTCTGATAGTAAAATAATGTTAGTAACGGCCTTTAGACACCAAGGGAAGTTTTAGAACAGATGTTTACCATTTAACCATTCACATATGATGTCTGTAAGTCTGGCTCCGGTTTTGAGTTTTATGTGGCTCTCATTCCCAGCAATACAATACTCTTTATTCTTTCAGGGGACAAACAACAAAACCCGTTTCCTGCACAGACAATACACCCTGACAACTGGCAGTGTCACTCTTCAAACTGAGGAAAAACTAGAACTAGAAAACGTTCCACTGGAAGGCATTTCCAGTGAAAAGTCTTGCTAATTAAAAAAAAAAAAGAATTGCTGCTGTCTTAAAAGTATGCAATTGGCGTTTCAAACCTCTACATTCTACGACTTCTTGCAGGAGGCTGGGGGGATAGAGAGGCAGGATCACTTCATTCGTTCCAAATTCGTCGCTCTAAAGGCAAGTTATGAGAAGGCCGTCAGAAAGGTCCTTCCCTAAAGCTGGGTGGCTGGGGAAGTCTTTTATTTTTCCTAATTCGGCCCCAGCTCTGACGCGGGAAAGTGAGCCCAAGGTTGAAGAACATGCAGTCCATCCATCACGTAGGCAACTCCGCTGCAGGATTCTAATTGAGTGTGCAGGCCTGACTTTCCCTCCAAATCCGGGCCTCAGGTGTTCCACCCGGAGTTTCTCTTCAGCCGCCCCTCGCCACAGAGTCTCGGAAGAGTGGAGCGTTCACACATAAAGAAACTTAAACCGCCCGAGCCTCCCACTGAAGAAGATTCACCGCCAGTCTGAACTTGCAGGTGGGGAGGCAAAGCCCCAAAGCTTCCCCACCCTGGGAAAAACCTCTGGCTCCAAAGGTCCTTCCGTCCGGCTTCGCCTCATCCAGTACCCCTCCCTCCCGCGCCGGCGCTTACCCAATACCAGCCGGGCTACGTCCGAAGGTAACAGCATGATCGAAGCCGCAGAAGGAACCGTAGTGAGAGACGAGACTCGGATAAAAACCAACACAGCGACAGCCCCTGCGCCGCATCTCCCGGTTCCAGTGGCGGCACTGAACCCGCGACAACTTGTCCCGCCTCTTTCGCTCCACGCCAGCCAATCGCTTCCGCCGGAGAAAGAAAGGCGCCGAAAAGAAACCCGCCTCCGTTCTACTTGGAGCTGTCGTCACATCCGCCCTCACATTTGGATGGGGGCGGGGCGGGAAGGCGGGAGCGGAGAGGCTGAGCCGGCGCTAGAGGGCGAGCGGCGGACGCAGGGCCGCACGCCATTGGCTGACAGGGCGCACGCGCGTTTCCCTCAGAAGAGCCCTGTGTTTGGAGAGGCGGGTCTTGGGAGTGCAGAGCGTGCGTGTTGGGACAGCGTGGGCAAACAGTGCCCCGGCGCTAGTTCGCCTTAGTGCTTCCTTTGGAAACGTACGCTGCGCGATCACTCCAGGTTTGATCCGGAAGCCGGAATAGTGCTTGGACAGCCGGCTCGGGCTTTGCGGGAGGCGGGTTGAGCGGGCTTCTAGGCTGCGGACATCACCGCTTACTCAGATTCCACTTCGGCAGAGTCCAACGGTAGGGCCGCGGAAGAAGCTCAGTGGCTTCAGCGTTGGGGAATTCAGTCAAATCTGAGCCGTTCAGCCCCTGCCTCCAGACGCACTCCTACAGAGCGGCCCTTTCCTCTTCTCTTTACCTCATCTAGCCTAGCCCCCTGTCCTTGTGGCTTTCTTCTGCCCACCCATCGTGCTTCTGGCGTATTTAGTCTTCAGCCTTCTTGCCCATCCCCTTCCGGAGTCCAGATGTAACTGGATGGCTTGACTAATCATCTTTTTCTCCCCTCTCATAATTAGCAGTTTTAATCAGCGAGCAATTTGTGGAGGCTTAAACTGCAGTCTCCTGAGTAACAGGCTTGGGCTTTGGAATCACTCTCCAGTTCAAAATTCTGACTGTCGGCTGACTGTGTGCTATCGAGCCTGTGGTAATTCTATCCTGTGGTAAGTGTCGTGGTCTCTGTGGGGGTTGGAAAAGAATTTCCAGGCATGAGGAGAATAAAATTTATTAGGGTGGGAGCTGCTGTTAAAACAGCTGGCCATTTCAGGGGAGAGCCAAACGCTTTTGCAGGCTTGCAGCCAGTTTCCATAGCCTTAAGACAGAGAAATTCCTACTGGAATGGTGGCAGTAGGTGATTGGTAAGGATGCTCTTGGGTGGATAGTAGGGTGGGTATCTTACATATTATGGGGTTAGGGTACTGGCCGGTTTAGATCCCGAGGGTCATAGCAACAGTTGCTGTGGGGCTTCGTCAGTTCCAGGGGTTTTTATCCTGTGACCTTGGTATAGGGCTCCACATTCCGCCCTTTTTTTATTTATGGGCCAGACTTTGGCCCCTTAACACCCTGCTCATGACTGCCTGTCTGCCTACCTTATCCTTGTCTTGGGCCTGGGGACCCAAGTCACTGGGGAGTGGGGCTTCTTCAAGCTGGGCAGGCACATTGTGGGGTCCTGAGTCCCAGTGCCGACTTTCTGCCAGGGTGCATTTACAGAGGGAGATGAGAGTCCACAAAATGATAAGGCAGCTTGTTCAGCGTTGTCTGGGTGTTGGCTGGGGGATATTTTAGTCGTATTACTATTTGGAGATTTATTTGTTGTATTCTAGAAGAAACAAACTTAACAAGAAAGTTAAAGAAACATGGCCCAAAGATTAATAGAAGTAGAAAAACTGCTGAGGGGCTCACCAGGAGAACCAAGACCAGACACTGGTCCGTAACATTAGTGTTTCTCTAGGAGAATTCGAGAATTTGGGCTCATAAAAATCCTGACCTGAAAACATCTGACTATCTGAAGGCCTGTTCTTCCAGTTTGTTCCAGAACAGAGTGCCTTAATTCTGATCTCTACCCTGAACTTCTTTTAGGGGCTATTGAAGGTCAGCAGCTTGCAGTGGTCATGATTTAATTTTTGTAGAGGCAGCTGGCAGTTACCAATGTCCAGTCAGCAGGGCCCCTTCATAGCCACATTTTTGACCATATGTTGGAGGCATTTCGTGGCCACTGTGTCCCATGATGCTGGGAAGACTCATTCCCAAGTCTAGTGAAGATTCCACTGATAGGTCACTCAGTGTGCTGGTACTAGACCAGGCCTTGTGAGTAACAAAAGTCTCTGGACCATCCATGTTTTACTAGCCTCTTGGTCCAGGAAATTATTCCCTCCTGTTACTTCTTCCTGTGTCTAGAGTTACGTTATTAAAATAGTTGATCTCATATGGAACTGCATATCAGCATTTTATCATAGGCTTAATCATTCATTTGGTAACATAAGAAACAAGTTTCTGAAACAGGTGACATAGAACATAATATAGCTAGCAGTTGTTAGTAAGCTCATAAGTAAGAATTTAAGTCAAGAACTTCCATGAAGTATAGCATGGTACTTGCCCAGGTCATCTGACTTAGTTGTTAAATGACTATAGCTTGGTGTCCATCTAATTAAACCTTTTAGCAATATAACAACTATCTTAGAAGTGAGTCTTAGTAAATAGACCTTAATTAACAAAGCTAGAACTTAATATTCAGTGAAGCATAGTGTTGTCTTTTTTTTTTCCCTTTGTGAGGACATTAATCCTGTAGCCAGAGAAGGCTTTAATCCATCAAATAAAAATAAGGTTTGTCAGGGAGCTGGGAAAATCCAAGTGGCCATCTTGGATTTACCTTAGCCCTGACTCTGGTTAGCAGTTATTCACCCATTTTTAATTCCCCAATTTAGGAGTAGACTGAGTTCAATTCAGTTGCTCAGTCGTGTCTGACTCTTTGCATAGACTCTTTGAGTAGAGTGGTACACTCAAAGGGTGGATTTGAGTGGACCATACTTTGAGTGGACTATTGCCATGTTTTAAATTGATGGGTTAATTTTTGTATATGTAGAATGAGCTTTGTCTACATCTACCATAATTTTTATAGATCATGGTGAAATAATGCTTATTTACTTTAACAAAGTAACAAAAGATTTTAGAAAAATATAAATCACTTAAAGGCAAAGAAATTCACAATCTGTGATCAAAAGCTGTAATTTTTTTTTCTAGTAATCATGGTTTTATTTATTTATTTTTCATTTATTTTTATTTGTTGGAGGCTAATTACTTTACAATATTGTAGTGGTTTTTGCCATACATTGACATGAATCAACCATGGATTTACATGTGTTCCCCATCCCGATCCTCCCTCCCGCCTCCCTCCCTAGTCCATCCCTCTAGGTCTTCCCAGTGCACTGGCCCTGAGCACTTGTCTTATGCATCAAGCTGGGCTGGTGGTCTGTTTCACTCTTGATAGTATACTTGTTTCAATGCTGTTTTCTCAGAACATCCCACCCTCGCCTTCTCCCACAGAGTCCCAAAGTCTGTTCTGTACATCTGTGTCTCTTTTTCTGTTTTGCATATAGGGTTATCTTTACCATCTTTTGAAATTCCATATATATGCATTAGTATACTGTCTTGGTCTTTCTCTTTCTGGCTTACTTCACTCTGTATAATGGGCTCCAGTTTCATCCATCTCATTAAAACTGATTCAAATGAATTCTTTTTAATGGCTGAGTAATATTCCATGGTGTATATGTACCACAGCTTCCTCATCCATTCGTCTGCTGATGGGCATCTAGGTTGCTTCCATGTCCTGGCTATTATAAACAGTGCTG